ATAAAGAAGTTTTCACACTAGTACAATTTGATAACGATTTATCGTGTATACAATAAAAATATTTTCACAAATTAAATCAAATGACGTGATAATCATACAGATATTAATTTGTAAATTTTATTGTACAGTACTACGTTGCAGAGGTTGCGGTATGGTGCTATGGCTCACTGCAGCTTACCTAGCCCGTCGTTAGAGTATAAAAATAAGTGTGAAAATGTTGTTATAGCTAGCGTGTCCGTATCAATGTTATATCGTTGTACTGGTATGGTTAAAATTGACACAGTTTCCGTAGTAGAAAAATATGGTATAGTGGCAATTCCAAAATCTACCATTGATTTTAAAAAGAAGCCCTTCACTTATAGTTGGCAGATGTAATCTTAAAAAGAAGCCCATTGAGAATAAAAAAAAGCGTAGGATTTCTATTCAAAGTTTTACGGTACCGTCGTATATTTTAACAGTATTTGAATGAAATCATAATTTCAATATAAGCCTGTGATTATAAATCAAAAGGGAACAGATATACACCACAGTAAATCTACAGGTACCCTACGTCATCGTGTATCTCAAGCTACGTTCACATCAAGCCCGGATTCCGGTCCGGACCGGAATCCGGGCCCGGTTATGATTTCCGGTTGTGCGTTCACATCGCGTACGGGGAACAAAGACGTCAAAATTAGAAGAAAAATAAGAGATCCGAATGAGCCTGACAAATATTTACAATTTCTGTATTTAGGTAGGCCCTAGGCCCGCCTAACTAGCTAGCTAGGACAGATGTAGGCCTGTGTGGCTAGGCCAAACTACTATGTATTTAGGCCTATAGTGTAGAAATCCTAGCTTCTTACCTTTTCCTTAGTATCATGTTTTTAAATATATATATATAAAATTTAAATATAACACCAGGCGGCGGCAGCCGAGTTTTTTGTAACTTTGTGGCTTAAAAATTGCAAATACTGTAATCATTTTTAATAGGCCTGTTTTACACGAAATTTTTATTGGACTATTTTTGTGCTCACAAAAACTAATTAATTCTTCAAATTAGTTGTTAGAATATTTATAAAGGTCCTGTATAGGAAAGACTATACAGAGTATAATTATTATACTCGGAAATAAATTAATTGTGAAATTATTGTTTTGTTTCATTTATATACTTATATCAAGCTTAGTCGGGTGAAACCAGAGAGCATAAATAAGAGTAGGCCTAAATAAATGAAATTGTGTGATATTGTGTTGACCTCATTGACTCATTTATCATGATAACAAGATAGACAATGTGCTCACTTAGAATATTCAATTGTGAAGTAACGATATTTATGATAAGGGTCTAAATAGAAATATAGGCATATCATTAAGGCAGAGTAGCGGGGGCTTGTATTACAATGATTTTGAAATGTTAACCTTCTGAATATGACGAGTGAATGGATTTGGGGCCGGGTTGGCCGGGCCAACTTGACAGGCGGCCGAGTTGATGTGGGTGGACGAATGATTAGAAACAATCACAGAGCGTCAAAATAAACATATTATTTTATACACGTTTTAATTAAATTATATAGCCTATAAAATATAGTATAACCTTTGTATAGAACTTTCATACAAGTTGTATTAAGAAGCATATTTCGTAATCTCGAAGGCATCAAATTATTGTTATAAAATAGTAGTGCCGGTAGTGTACATCGTCCTACAATAATTATTTCTCATGACGACATTAATACATTTTATTCTTAGTATCAAAAAATTGTAAATATATTGATGTAATTTTTCTTGATTTTTTTTCTACTAGTAGAGTTCCTTATAGCAGGTTAATTAAGAAACTGCATAATATAGGCATTAATGGAAATATCAAAGCATGGATTACTGATTTTTTTTCAAATAGACGTCAAAGTTTAATTTACAGAGGAGAGAAATCTCAGTGGGTAAATGTAACATCAGGTGTACCCCAGGGATCAGTATTAGGTCCTCTTTTGTTTTTGATTTATGTCAGTGACATTGTAAATAACATTTCATCCTCTTTGTTTCAATTTGCTGATGACCACACTTTGTCACGTCCTATTCATTGCAACAATGATAATATAGTTTTACAAGATGATTTAGACACAATAAATCAATAGTCCATTGTAAATAAGTTACCTTTAAATCCATCCAAGTGTGCAGTGATGCATAACTAGATGTAAGAATACTAACCAAAGTGATTATTTTGAAACAGAAGTTGTTCCTCGTGTAAATGAATTCAAATTTCTCGGTGTTTATGTAAATAGTAAGTTATCATGTCATGCACAAATTAATTATGTGTGTTGTAAAGCCAGAAGGCTTCTTGGATTTATAATCCGATCCAGTAAGTTTATGTCTTGGGTTGCTATGTTAAACCTGTATAAAGCTTTACTACTACCGATTATAGTATAATGTGCTTCTATGTGGGCACCAGTTGAAAAATCACATTTGAACCGAATCGAAAGTATTCAAAGAAGAGCGACAAGAATAATAATTCTTGGAAGACATCATATTTCTATAGGCTAAAGTCTCTTAATATTTTATCTATCGAAGATGCATTTAAAGTTCAGAAACTAGGTTTTAAGGTTTTAAAAGGTTTTTGTCCTCCTTCATTTTCTCAGTATGTAAATAGTAGTGAACGATGTAAAGGTAGACTTATACATTGGAATGCAAAGTCTAATACTTTTCTTAATTCTGTTTATGTTATATTCCCACGACTATGGGAACAATTACCAATAGAAATTCAAAATTATCAATCAATTTCATTATTTAAGTCTGCTCTTATAAAACATCTTCTTTCAATGTATTAATTAACTAATTTCAATTTAAATTTTTAGTAACTAAGTTTAAATTTGTTATTTTTCATTTTGTGTTCTATGGAGCGAGTACATTGATTATTTGGGCTTTCGCCTATTCTCGCATCCTGGCTAAATTGTTCTTTTATGCCGAATAAATATTATTATTTATGTAACATTTTAAGGGGGGTTTCGCTATTTAGCGTGATTTTAAAATAAGAAAATAAAATAATTATTGACATTATACTTCCAATAAGGTTGTATAAATCAGAATACACATTTCATATCCTCTCTATGTATTTCTGAAGATGGTAATTCTTGATACCGTCCGGAATACTGTAACACTTCAAATACACACCTAGTATTCTATTAGGGACCCATGCTGTAGTAATGCTGTAACCACCATATTAAAGGTTTTCTATAATAATAACCCACTACACTAACACTGTAGTAATAGTAGCTTAGTGTCTGGTTACTATTGGAATACCAAAACTTTATGTATAGGCTTAACGTAATGAAAAATACAAATTGCATTAAACATTTAATAAACATTTTCACAAAGTGTGTTTTGTACAATTTCATATTGAAATTTCCTAGTCTTCTTCGCATACAAGTAGAAAGCCATTTTGATTTCATACCCTATAAAATACTCAGTACTGCATAAACTGTACAGTACGTTTTTCTTCATGTATGATAATGCCATGCCACGTAAGTGGATTTCCCGCACGATTAAAAATCATAACGGTACTGGGTTTGGTCTGTAGGAGTTCGTGCTTCGAACAGGTCATTCCATTCATAGAAGTCTTTTGATGGAGAAAGTGTACCTATTAGCAAAGGAAACTCCGGCTATATAAAATTGATTATAAAATTGAAAAATATTCATCTTATTATTGTAGTAGTGATAGATACTATGTACACGTTTAAATTATTGTTATTTATTTGTTATGTC